CAACCCGATCAGTTAAAAACTGACAAAGTTTCATACAAACTTTCATCCCCTTTTTTACCCCCTTGGGGGTGGAAATTATCAAAATCCTTTCTTAGCGAATGCCTACGTCATAACATCTATCTGTATGCCAAATTTTAGCCCAATCTGTCCAGCAGTTTGGGCTGTGCGTTGATAGATCACTATGTCAGTCAGTCAATCAGTCAGTCAGTCAGTCAATCACCTTTGAATTTTATATATATATAGATTAATGTACAAGCGGCCATTTTATTACGGCATGGAACAAAGTGAGCTCTTCGCAGTACCAGTCTATTGTTCGCTCTAATAAATTACACGGGAGCACCATCGCAGCCTGTATAGAACATTATTATGTCAAATTATTATGTTTATGTAACTTTATTGGTGACCTGGATTTTTGTTGTCTACAAGGAGGTAGTTAATTAATTTCCCGGGTCATTAAAAAATCTTAAAATCAGTGTAAGGACAGTTGAAATGAACTTAATTACTTTTTACTTCTTTATATTCAGTATTTTACGTAATTGATATGTCAAGTAATAGTTATGTATATACATGCGGCGCCCCCCGTAAAAGGTAGATAGGTTACATAGATATGTAACTGTCATGTATGGGAAATTAGTTACTTAGATATATAGGACGCGTGCGCACTTTCCTAATTTCTAATGAAACTAATCTACTCTTTTGGTGTCTGAGTGAATTCACAAGGAGTGTGTTATATTATAAAATATGCTATAATTATAAGTTAAATAAAAAAATATATAAATTTATACTTTACTGTTGCGCCTGCTAAAAAAAGTATAGCTAAACTCTATACCGTTGAAGTATAAAAAATTGCTAATACAAATGAGTAGGCACATTTAAGAGTTTTTAGTATGTAATACAATAATTATTTAACTTAATTACTGAATCAGTAAATAATAACAAAATAAGTTTTGTTTTTTTTTTTGGCATAGGAGGCATACGAGCAGACGTATCACTGGTGATGGTAAGCGATCAGAGCCGCTCATGGTTACCGCAACACCATAGGACTTAAGAAATTAAAATTAAATTCTCTCATATGAAAATGTCACGAAATAAAGAGCTATTACTTTTATTAACTGCCTCATTGGCCGAGTGGTCGCAAGTGCGACTGCCGGGCATGGGGTCTCGGGTTCGATTCCCGGGTCGGGCAAAGTATCACTGGGTTTTTTTTAAATCTCGGTAGTAGCACGAAGCCTGGAATTGTGCCCGGTATATGGCAATAGCCTCACCCCCTATTACATGGGACCATGGGACTCATAACATAAATAGTGAAAAGTGGATGTTACATTGTACAGTGGCAAAATGTGCACCTCTGCCTACCCCTTCGAGGTGTTAAGGTTAATCCAGAAGGCTACACAGACACACTCATGTATATAAATGAATTGTTACTTACATGTTTGTTTATTTTTCACGTAGCAGCAACGAGTTTTATGGTATGGTCTTTGTTTCCGGAGGTAGTTAGGAGGCGGGAGACTGATATCAACTGATTTTAACTTTGACCATGCAGGCTAAGATGCGGGCAATAACTAGTAGCCATCTTATTTATTCTAAAAGCCACAGTGTCATCCAATTTTCGTGTCGCGTCTGCTAAGATAAAAATCTACATATCTACACTTGTGTGTGTGATTTTTTTAAAGTTGTTTTTGTACAATTATCGTAGAGCGCGGCAATGACCTTCGTTTTAAATCTGTAGATAGCGCTGCGGTAAAATCTACTGATAGTGGCATATCTGTCGAAGTAACATAATAATACTACTTTTATTTCTAGAAAAAGTAAACCGTTATTAGTCTTTACACGAGCCTACTAAATCTTTTAATCCCTTAGGGATTTAATATATCCCTTAGGGCGTATTTTTTAATCATCAGTTTATTCTTAACTGTACAATAAATTTGACATTTGACAGTTTTAGTATGGAAGAGTTGTTAAATATTCTAAGTTATTCATCAGTTAACATTTATTTGAGCATTGAAAATTGGCTTCTAAAGGGGTACACATAAATACATATTTTAATTATTTTATAACAATGTGTAGGTACTTATACCTAAGTTAAAGAGGTGTGTCAAACTAAAAGTATTGAAGGCATCGTTCACTTACAACTTGGAACAAAATAACGTCTGATTATAGTCAATTGCTATAACCATCTATAGTGCTGGGTATTGTCTGCTAATGCTACCAACATTATTTATAAAAAAAATCATCTACATAAAACTAACCAAAAATACTAATTCTTTAAAAAAACGTTTACTTTTTGAATTCACTGATTTCGGAGAGTTATCAATTAAAGTTATAATAAAAATATCACGTTCCCCATTCTGAATTAAGTACCTACATTATTGTTAATACCAACCCATATTAGGATTTATAAATAGCCAAAAATTTTACTTTGTGGTCATTTCAATAATTATCATAATTGCCTATTTACCCACATAACACGTTTTTGTTCTACACAAACAAGTTTGACATAACGACATCAAATGGTATGCGAATGTGACATAATATAAGGCTGCCTACATACGAACCTAAAACTGAATAATATTATTGAATGTTTATGAGATTTTAGCTCCTATTTCGTCTCTCATTAAGTAAAATTTCCAAAAAATTCTAAAACACGTATCTATTATTTGTTTTAAATCAGTATTCTGTGGCCTCAATACGAAGTTTAGTTTTCTGAATGTTCCTGAAATTGCATTATTAGGAACATAATTATATAATCTACATTACAATTCCATTAGTTGTGTGTGCTCGTGTTTCAACCACGCCTTCATATTATAGTTAAATCATCCGACTAATAGCCGGCACTATCATCGTGTGTCGATAACATTATTGATAATAGTATCAAAGAAACGTGGCCGGTTTGGTACGCCCGTCAGTAGCGTTGCGCGCGCGCCGGTCAAACAACGTGCGACTAAATAAAGACAAAACAAGATGGCGGCGCGAGGCACACAGTGTTTTCTAACAGTGACAAGAAAGTACAGCTCATCAGCTGACAAAAATGTTGCTTTCCTCGGCCTCGGAAATATGGGCGGTTTCATGGCTGCTAACTTAGCCAAAAAGGTAAATATACAAAAGAGTTTTGAATACAAATAAGTCTGTCTGGGACTGTTTTTACATTATTAACGCGATGCAGGAATTTATAAATAAGTCCGATGTGTCCACACGGTTGACTTAATGTTTAACTCGTCGAGTACCGAGTAGTATTATAGACACAATTATAGAACAATAGGTTGCGGTCACCGGTGTCCGCTTGGTGTTTGACAGTTTAAGCCCGAATGTAGGTACCTACACACGTATATGTATTTTTTGTGCGTTTAAAATTTTAATACACTAAATTGAATATTAATATAATGATGAATATAACACCCTGGTTATCCCAACGAGTGCTTTTTGATTTTGAAGTTTAAGAAGAGGGGCATAAGATTCTCTATCCCGTTTACAAAACTGGATCCAGAGATAATAATTTTAAAGCGATAAGAGAATTATTCTACGCCGACGAATACTGGCCGTAACTGGTTCACTATAAATTATGTATTTGAATACATTTATTTCAAGGTTCTCCGTTCAATATTTGAATATTTATAAAATAATCAGTTAATCGGAATCGCTGTATTACTTTTAAATCAAGATTATTTTAAATGGATTGTACAATTTACAAAATGTTTGGAATGCAGACTCATTGTTTAGTAATTACTTTTCTAAATTATGTATTTTTTTACAAAGTTATTTATTTACCTCTAAATATTAACACAACATTAGAGTTATGAGGTACGTAATGTCCAAAAGTATAGTTTAAAATGCAGGTGCCATTTATCATTAATAAAGATTTATTGTAATGACAAATGTAGTTAGGTACGAATTGACAAATAAATTGTTACACACAAAGATATATTTATCTGCCTCACTATGTCTGCCTCAAAACTTCACTGTTGCAATGCCATGTCATTACCATGATGCAATGTGATGTGCATATCATAAAAATATGTTTATGATATAATGCATGTCTGGTTATCTCATGTTTGCCATTCCTATCCACCACTTATGTATGTACAAGTAGATATTCATATACGTATATTAGTTTGATATTAACGTAACGTGGAAATATTGAAATAATGATAACTTATTCCAATATAAAAATATCAAGCAAATTAGTCGCGTGATACGTAAAATATAGGCACAATATCAAGTTTGGAGATCAATTAATAAAGGAATTATAAAGATAACGATATTAATTAAACAAGTTACCGACATCTAATCTAATTTTACATTGTTGCTAGCCAGAAACACGCCCCTCAAGAAAGTATAGTTTGAAAGTTACTATCGAAGTGACGTCACTCATACGATAAACTATTCGTACGCGTATAAACAACTTGACATTGACACCGAACACGAACAAATTCGTCGATTGTACATACTGACCGAGTGGCCTCAGCTGTCTCGTTCTAACTCGTTACTTATTAAGGCACGTGTGAGCAAAGGAGGAAAACATGTTTGAATGAGAGCTTATGATAAGCTTCTTCTGGTAATCATATTATTGGTACACTTGATTATGAGGATTATAGTTGAGAGTTTGTTCTACACTTACGATGGGGACTTGGGAAAATGAAGAAGATTTATTGGATAAAAAATATAACGAAATAAGATAGACAACTGTATTTATTTCACTACATTGAGAAAGTATTTTTAGTTAAAAAGTATTTATAGTGCAAGTATTTTTTTAAATAAGTGATACAAACAACATTTTAAAAGCTTTCGGAGATGCATTAAAAACTAAAAAGTCATGAAAGCAAAAGAAAAAGAAAACAAGGTGGATTTCCAATAAGTACTGTTAAAAAAATAAGATGAAATCATCTACTTAGCGGTTAATGGTACATTTACTGTAATTTAAAATTAAAATCCTTTCAGTTGATTCAAAGATTATGCTAAGTTATGTAGATGGGTGCTTTTTACGTAAACCATTTTGAGGTTCGTAGGGATTTGCACCGAACAAGTTCGATTTAAGGGCACGTCCTTATAATTCTAAAAGGAATTTTGGGACCTTTATTCGGCCGTTGTTTTTAAGGGCAAGCGTTGTTGCGTGCTTTGTGGTCATTTGCATTTTGTCCAGGTGGTAATACGAAGATTTTAAAGGGGTTTTACCTTATTGTTATAGACCATACCTACCTATATTTTGTTACATTTTTAAGCAAATTGTCAAACACCAAGCGGTCACCGGTGACCGCAACCTATTGTTCTATAATTGTGTCTATAATGACGGTACTCAACGAGTTAACACACTTACAACGCGGGGTCGATTCCCGCACGGAACAACATTTTGTGTGATCCACAAATTGTTGTTTCGGGTCTGGGTGTCATTGTGTATGTGAACTTGTATGCTTCTAAACGCAGCCACGACACAGGAGAAAATCCTAATGTGGGGCACGTTTTTAATAATTAGAGAAAAGCACTTTCTACACTTTTTAAGATTATTTATCATTTATCAACAAGATATCTTTTCCATAAAAGTTAATTAACCAAATACCTCCCGAACCAATCGGGATATCCAGTCTAAAAATTCCAGATCGTACTTATTTATGATTTCCACGAAAATTTCAGAGCTCTTTGACAAATGAAGTGAAATACTGTTTGCTGGAAATTGGGAACGGCAAAAGGGGAACACCAAATAGTTTTATTTCATGACAAACCAGCAAAAGTGGTTAAATTCCCAATATTCATAGACCACGTTACTTTGTACTTTGTATTCCAATCTCTTGTAATTGATTTCAAAAAGTTTTTGATTTCAAAACGAGTATTCCGAGACCCAATTTTAAGTTTGGAGAATGGCTATAATTAGTTTTCCTTTAGTTCCAATTTAAATGTAGATTTGATCGTCAAATGGGGATAAAAAAGTTGAAATTATAGATATTAATTATTATTATAATTAGAGTCAGAGTTCTTTTTTATGGCATAAGCCGGTAATCGAGCAGACGGATCACCTGATGGTAAGCAATCGGCGTCGGCCCATGAACACCTGGAACACCAGAGGCGTTACAAGTGCGTTACCGGCCTTTTGGGGATTAGGAGTTTGAGGATCGTTGGGGATTCAGGGATTGGGGAGATTGGGGAAGGGGAGGGTAATTGGGCCTCCGGTAACCTCACTCACACGACGAAACACAACACAAGCGTTGCTTTACGTCAGTTTTCTGTGAGGCCGTGGTATCACTCCTGTCGAGCCGGCCCATTCGTGCCGAAGCATGGTTCCCCCACACTTTGAAGTACACACTTAGAATTTACACCCCACAATGAAGTGTAAATCATATTAACAATAAATATTTTTTTTTCTATTTCTAGGGCTTCGCAGTCCGTGGTTACGACCCATCCAAGGAGGCTTTGGCTGCAGCCGCCAAGAACGGTATTGCTGAAGCTAACTCCATCGCCGCGGCTGTAGATGGCGCTGACGTCGTAGTTTCCATTCTGCCTAGCAACAAGGTTGTGCTCGACGCTTACCTCGGCAAAGATGGTGTAGTTCAACATGTAAGTAAAAGTTTTATTATGTTAAAGCTGTTTAGATATAGAACATTTAAAATTGTCTAATCGTGTAATTATTGTAATAAATAGGAGACAGGGGTTGTTGGTAGGAGTCAACGATAAATACTGCCTCGTTGGCCAAGCGGTCGCAAGTGCGACTGACGGGCTGTCGCGGAGAACCTAACGGGTAACTGGGGCTCCGGCTCGACGTGCAGGAGGAGGAACGGGGTGGTTTTTAGTCAGTAAGAGTCTGACACTCCCTCCCGCCTCAACCAGGCGGGAGCAGTCATTCGATGATTTTCCCCCTTAAAAAAAAGTGCGACTGACGGGCAAAGGGCCTCGGTTTCGATTTCCGAAGATTTACTGGGTTTAAAAAAATCTTAGTAGTACGGTGTCTGAAATTGTGGCAATATAGGTACTCATCGCCTATTACAAGGGACTCATAACATAAATAGTGAAAAGTGGGTCTTACATTGTACAGTGGCATCAAGTGCCGTAATGTATATAGATCGATGAACGATGATTCTTGATGTTTTATTTTCAAGTGATAAAGTGATAGAACGAAGTAAATTATACCTACAACTAAAGACTTATAATGTTATATATGATAGCAACGTCTACACGTGTAAAAAATAAATTCATGAACTAAAACCCGACAAAAGAACACACAAGTAAATCTAAGACGGAGATCAAGACATAGGTAGAGAAATGTTCAAAGTAAAGCTACTAAAGTCAGGTAAAAACGTAAACCCACTTCATCACGATTTTGAAGGAAGCTAAAGCCTTCTTATATAACACGAGATCGTCAAAAATATTATATGTCTAGTAAAGAAAGAGAGTTGGCTAGTTTCTTAGGTTTTAAATAAATTGTTCCAACTTTTCCATGCAATAAATAATTAAAAAATAATCATACTCTCATCCATTGATTTGACAATTTACCTACTTATGGATTTTTTGTTGCTAAATTTGACTGCCTCGTTGGCCGAGTGATCGCAAGTGCGACTGCCGGGAAGGGGTCTCGGGTTCGATTCCCGGGTCGGGCAAAGTAATACTGGGTTTTAAAAAATCTCAGTAGCAGTACGGAGAATGGAAATGTGCCCGGTATATGGCAATAGGCTCACACCCTATTACATGGGACTCATAACATAAATAGTAAAAAGTGGGTGTTACATTGTACAGTGGGATTAAGTGCCGCAATGTGCAACCTCTGCCTACCCCTTCGGGGATAAAAAGGAATTTAAGGAAATAAGTATGCTATTTGACGCAGAAATATGATGACGTCATAAGTTGCGATCCAATACAAAATTCATCGAAAAGTATCGTTATTGGTTATTGACAATTTCAATAAAAGTATTGAATTTGATTACCTGTCAACTACCGTATTGAGGCACCAAGTCCACGTTACCTGCGGTCAAGTTACGCGATACATACTTAAGTAAGTTCCCACAGAACTAAGTAACTAAGTTACCTCTCCCGGCCACAGTAGATATTTCTTAAGTTATTAAACTTTTGACAAACAGTACTTACTTAGTATAAGTTGAAATACTAAACAAAAAGAGGAACTTTGCCAAAGAACAACAACTTTGTAATTCAGATATAAGAAGTTTTATATAAGAAAGTATTCGGTCGCTATAACCGAAGTTTTGCGTCCTACCAACCAACCACATTATTTTGTTTTGATGGAACCGAGAACCTAACATTTTGGGATTGTTTATCTTGTATTTCTGCGGCTTAAATAACGATATTTTGTACTTTTTTTTTGTTATGGCATATTCTGGTAACTGAGCAGACGGATCACCTGATGGTAAGCAATCGGCGTCGCCCATGGACACCTGGAACACCAGAGGCGTTACAAGTGCGTCACCGGCTTTTTGGGGATTAGGAGTTTGAGGATCGTTAGGGATTCAGGGATTGGGGAGATTGGGGAAGGGGAAGGTAATTGGGCCTCCGGTAACCTCACTCACACGACGAAACACAACGCAAGCGTTGCTTCACGTCGGTTTTCTGTGAGACCGTGGTATCAATCCGGTCGAGCCGGCCCATTCGTGCCGAAACATGGCTCTCCCACACTTAGAAACATGATCATATTGATATGAAGCACAATATGTAGTAATTTATTTAATAGACTGCCTCGTTGGCCGAATTCTCACAATTACGACTGTCGGGCAAAGGGTCTCGGGTTCGATTCCTGGTTCCGGCAAAGTATTACTGGGCTTTTTCAAAAATCTCAGTAGTAGCACGCACGGAGTCTGGAATTGTGCCCATGGCAATAGGCTCACCCCCTATTACATGGGACTCAAAACTTAAATAGTGAAAAGCGAGTGTTACAGTGGAGTTAAGTGCCGTAATGTACACCTCTACCTACTCCTTCGGGGATAATAGGCGTGATGTAATGTTATGTTATTTAACAGTATTTCGTACTGAATTATGAGGATTAATTCCTAATTAAATCCTGTGTCTAGTGAATCCGGCTTATTGTGTAATTATCGCTATTATGTTTCGTAATTAATAAGCCGGTGTACATTGTTCCGTTGCCTAAATAAGGCAGAATGTACATGTAGGAAAATATATTAAATGCTTAATAAGAAAGGGCGTATATTTCGCGCGTGGGCAACTAAAACATAGTAGAAGCAGGTTTATTAAATTTTGTGCAGCTGTGGATAAACGACATAACATGACGCCTTTTATCCCCGAAGGTGTAGGCAAAGGTGTACATTATGCCACTATACAATGTAACACCCACTTTTCACTATTTACGTTATGAGTCCCATGCAATAGGAGGTGAGCCTATTGCTATTTACCGGGCACAATTTCAAACCCCGTGCTACTACTGACATTTTTTTTTTTAAATCCCAGTAATACTTTGCTCGACCCGGTAATCGAAACTGAGACCTCTTACCTGGCAGTCGCCCTTGCGACCACTCGGCCAACGAGGTAGTCAACCAACGTAAAATTATGGTAGTCTTTCAGTATTCTGGCGTATACGCCTAAAACTCAGTTTTGACTCCATTTCCTTAAAAAGGTAACAGAAAGAATAAAATTATTAAATATTCTTATTCTGTTTTATTTCTAGGCCCGTAAAGGAGCACTCCTAATTGACTCCAGCACCGTTGACCCCAACGTACCGAAGCAGATCTTCCCCGTAGCTATCGAGAGCGGCAAAGGCTTCACAGATGCCCCTGTATCAGGAGGTAAGAAATATGACTATATCTATACTAATATTATTTAAAGCTGAAGAGTTTGTTTTTTTGTTTGTTTGTTTGAACGCGCTAATCTCCAAAACAACTGGACCGATTTGAAAAATTCTTTCTGTGTTGGATAGCGCATTTATTAAAGAATGTTATAGGCTATAAAATATCACGCTACGATTAATAGGCGCCGAGGAGATCAAGTGAAACCGCGCGGAAGTAGCTAGTTCAAGATATAAAAGAAACATAACACAGTGTACGTCTGAGTGATGTTACTGGACCCCTCCACAATCTCCCAAAAATATCCCTTATAATCCCCAAAACGCCGATAACGCACTTTCAACGCCTCTGGTGTTTGGTGTGTCCATGGGCGGCGCCGATTGCTTACCATCAGGTGATTCGTCTGCTCGTTTACCGGCTTATCTCATAAAAAAGTGAGAAATCCCGTATCCTCAATCTCTGAAAGGCTGCCAATGCACACGTAACACTTCTGATGTTTCGAGTGTCTATGGCTGCATCGATTGCTTACCATCAGGTGATTCGCCTGTTTTTTGGTCGTTCTATTCCATAAAAAGTCCAATAATACCAGTAGTAGAAGGATAGAGGCCGAAATAATGATTGTATAAATGTTCTATAGTTATTATTTCAGTTAAATTTAATAGGTATCATTAAAGTATTGTTTGAATAAATTAAAAGCTTATATTTAAAGTTTATTTCCATCACCTGTAGTTTATGAAATAAAGATAAAAACGTACAATACCTTCAGATTTATCGTTAATTTGATAAAACATTAACAAAATTGGAAACGTGATTTCTATATCAAATCAATAATTATATTGCATCACTGGTTTGATAAGGTTATCAATAGTAACCTTGATTGGGGCTGTTATTGATATATCAGTCAAACAACTTACTTGAATATGAAGTCAAGAAAGTCAAACTTAAGGAATAGTATGGAATAATGATAAGTTTCTTTATGGGAATATCTTAAAATAGCGTTTTTTATGATTTTGAGAGTTTGAGAAAGTTGAGAATATTTGTTCAGTAATGAAATACGTAGGTAAAAGAGTATGTTCAGTCCTTTCCATCATCGTACCACAAGACAATCAGCGAGGGTCACCGATTCACTGTAAATGTCCCACCCACACGCACGAAGCGCTACGCATCAAGCTTCCTTGTGCGTATTGCCAAGGAGGGTAGATGCTTAATTTTTATTTTAACTCGTCGAGTCGTCATTATAGACACAATTATAGAACAATAGGTTGCGGTCACCGGTGACCGCTTGGTGTTTGACAGTTTAATGTCCGTCTGGTAGATTGTTTTAAATCATTAGACACGTATTTTTTAATTTCTTACAGAAACGTATACTTTTGACGATATATTGATTTGACATGTCGCGTGACGTCACTTCTATGTGCATTTTATACGTAGAAATGACGTTTTAGCTCCCACTTCTAAACTTTGATTCGTTTTATCTAAGTATTGTTTTCTTATACGACAAAGTAAAAAATACGTGTCTAATATTGTTTCATTACCTTACTAACGGACAAATTAGATTTTTAATTTTCATACCCTGTCATCATCCCAATTCTTTGCCAGACTCTGTGGTTCCTGAAGTATATAACCTAGATGTCTTCAAGGCCCGAGTGATTAGGTTGCTTATGGGCAGACGTGCTTCATCCTAGGCCGCATCATCCCTTACTACCGGGCGAGTTAGTGGCCAAATCAACATACATAACATCACGCCTTTTATCCCCGAAGGGGTAGGGCAGAGGTGCACATTACGGCACCTAATGCGACTGTACAATGTAACACCCAGTTTTCACTATTTATGTTATGAGTCCCATGTAATAGGAGGTGAGCCTTTTGCCATATACCGGGCACATTTACAGACTCCGTGCTACTACGGAGGTTTTTACAAATCCAATAATACTTTGCCCGACCCGGGAATCGAACCCGAGACCCCTTGCCCGGCAGTTGCATTTGCGACCACTCGGCCAATGGCAAAATCAACTATAAAAAAAATATATATTTTCACTTTGTAAACATGTTTATGTAAATAGATGATATTTTTTTATAACCACTTGAAATAAGACTTTATCAAAGTACTCATACCTCTTAGCGACAAGTGCGATAATACACTGATATCTTACAAGGTGGCCAAATAAAGTTTATCAAGCGATAGCAGAATCACACCCACGTACACACAATATACCACGACCAATTATTATATTATTATTTATCTTTTAATCACACGTTTTAAAATATAAGTCATATTACGTAACTGAAATATCCAAATGGCGTCATCTATATCTATACTAATATTATAAAGAGGAAAGATTTGTATTTTTGTATGTTTGTAATGAATAAACTCAAAAACTACTGGACCGATTGCAATAATTTTTTCACCATTAGAAAGCTGCATTATTCAGAAGTAACATAGGCTATATAATATCACGCTAGGTCCTATAGTTGTGGAGCAGTAACCAAAAATGTTTTAAAAACGGGGGAAACGTATCGTTTCTGAGGCCTTCCGTGGCGTGCGCTGAGCATATAGTTAAATATACAAAAATGCTCTATAGATGAATTGTTCATCTTAACATTATTTTTAAAAAAGTCCGCGAGAGCATATGTCTACCTTTTATAGTTTACCCATAACAATCGTTTATGTAAAAAATCTTAAGTCCCCCCGTGTGAAGCCGGGACGGGCCGCTAGTATGAAATAAAATTATGTATCGCAAATTAGGAAATAATAGACGATGGACAATCCAGACGATTTTAAAATAAAACAGTTGAAGAAATGCTTTGAAAATGTTATTAAAATCGTAGGTGTTCGCTTATTTTAATATCGAATAAGTCTACTCAAGATGAATAGCTTAGTGACATAACATAACATCTTTCTTCCCCGAAGGGGTAGGCAGAGGTGCACATTACGGCACTAACTGCCACTGTACAATATTACACCCACTTTTCACTATTTATGTTATCAGTCCCATGTAATAGGGGGTGACCCAATTGCCATATACCGGGCACTATTCCAGACTCCGTGCTCCTACAGGGATTTTTAAAAAACCCAGTAACCCAGTACAATACTTTGTCCGACCCGGGAATCGAACTCGAGACCTCTTGCTGGTAGTCGCACTTGCGACCACTCGGTCAATGAGGCAGGCCAATGAGAATAGGTTAGTGAGCACAGATAAAATATAATCGCCATTTTTAGTTCCTAACCCAATTACTATGTCTCATTTTTGCGGCAAGCTTTAGTTTTTCCGGAAAATCACATTAAAAAGGTGTGTCCTCACGAAACGCATGACAATGAACACTTTCTAAAAAAGTCTTTCTCCAAATTCCAGGTGTCATGGGTGCGCAGAACGCCACCCTTGCCTTCATGGCTGGTGGTCGCAAGGAGGACTTCGAGAGGTCCTTGCCGTTCCTCAAAGCTATGGGAGCTAAACAGTTCCACTGCGGTGAGGTCGGTTCTGGCCAGGTCGCCAAGCTGACCAACAACATGCTCATGGGTATCACTGGAATGGCCACCGCTGAGTGCATGCATATGGGTATCAAGTGAGTATAAGAATATTGTGTTTTGCTTCAAAAATTTAAAATTAACGTTCTAGAATGTATTAAGAAAACTGAGGCTTGAAAAATTCAGCTTTTATGTAGTACTCCAGTTAGAAGAAAGTTTCAAGTTTTATGTTGTACTCGTATTCCTACTAATATTTATAAATGCGAAAGTTTGTATGTGTGTTTGTTTGTTTGTTTGTTTGTTACTCCTTCACGAGAACAACCACGAGACCACTAGTCTTTGTAACTCAAAACGAAAAGCAAACGCTTAAACTGTCAAACACCAAGCGGTCACCGGTGACCGCAACCTATTGTTCTATAATTGTGTCTATAATGACGGTACTCGACGAGTTAATTCACAACTAATGGAGTTTTAATTTATCTTATTCTTTCATGACTGATAATTTTCAAGAGACCTCATAAACTAATGATGACTTTTCAATTTCCAGAATGGGTCTGGACCCTAAAGTACTCTTGGATGTTCTGAACAACTCCTCAGCCCGCTCATGGTCTACCGAAGTATACTGCCCAGTTCCCGGCCTGGTACCCACCGCACCTTCCAGCAGGAACTATGACGGTGGATTCAAGAACGAACTTATGGTTAAGGTAAGGCACGATACGACCTTCACATCTTCAAGAAAAGAGTATTTTTATTTCTAAAAGGCCGGCAATGCTCCTGTGACTCCTTTGGTGTTGCTGTTGTCCATGGGCGATTGCTTACCATCAGGTGACCAGGCTGTTCGTTAGTCTCCTATTCCATAAAAGAAGACAATAAAATATCCTTAAATAAAAATAAATGAAAGAGGTTGTATTAGTGACCTTAACGTAAGTAGATAGATATTATATGCTTTAATGAATGTATGTCTTCTTTAACACTATACGATTCAATATAAAATTAGATGAGAATATTCAAATTCAAATTATTTATTTGCACAAATATGGGTACATAATGTTGTTTATCGTTTATACCTCTACAGTCATATGATAAATAGATCGCGATATTCCAGCTTTCGCCATGCAAAGTTTTGACAAATAAAATTAAAGTCAAGAAAAAATAACTTTAAGGTCAAATATAGCAGGTTTACGTCATAAGAAATAAATTATATTAATAAAAGTAAGAAAAAAAAAATTGCATGTTTCTAGTGGTAAATCATTGTCAATTTTTATATGTCAAATTCAAATATCATTTGTACATAATATCTCTAGCAACTACATTTACCGACTAATCGGTTATTTAGATTTATTGTTTGTTTCATATATTAGGTAAGAAACTTAAGGGATGACTTACCACAACTCATCCGTGCTTAACACGTGACTTTATTTAAGTTGATTCTGTCACGTTGATGCGTAACAGGAATGCAAGATTCCTTTATTATTATAGTGAAAAAATCGTCCACTATTTTGAGGTTAAGGGTCATTAAGATAAAATATTTAATGCAATTCATTCTTTTGACCGAAATTGTATTTATAATAAGTTTATATTAACCAATACGTAATGATAAGCAAATGAGACTGCTAACTAACGTGACTTCATACATACAGCTGTTATCTGTTACCTACATATAAAAACGTATACGTTATCACAGCTATAAAAATCATGTGATTTCGGTGATTATGTTACTTATAGAAGAAATCCGTGTTACTGAATTAACGATTCTATGTTTTGATTCAAAGTCAGATGATATGAAGTTTGACTTAACTGCATTATCTATCTTTCTTAAAGATAAAAAGTGATGCAACTATATTTTTGGATTTTGCTGTTCGTAATATTAATTTATCTTTTGCTGTCACCTTCGTGCCATAACATCGTTTAGTTTGTATTTAAGTTTATTACTAACTAGCAGCCCGTCCCGGCTTCGCACGAGGTAGACAATTATTTATTTTTGAAAATTTGGATTGTTTTAGTGATATAACTACAATAGTTGGACATATGCTTCCGCGGAGTTTTTTTGTAGACATTATGATGTTCTTCAATATTGTTGTACATTATTTTGTTCTATCGCTAATAGTTTCGGCAGCGCATTCGACGAAAGACATTTCAAGACTCATTTTTCTACACCTTCGGTTACAGTGTTCAAATTTTACCAAGAATCCCTCATTTTTTTCAAAATGAAATGTAGCCTATGTCAAATTGGAAGAATGTAACATTCTATTGGTGAAAGAATTTTTTAAATCGGCCCAATACTTTTTGAGCCTATTCATTACAGACATACAAAAATAGGTACAAATCTTTCCTCTTTATAATATTAGTATAGGTATAGATAAAAACTAATGCAACTTTATTTTTAGGAGTTTTGCTGTTCGTAATATTAATTTACTTTTGCTGTCACCTTCGTGCCATAACATTGTTTAGTTTGTATTTAAGTTTATTACTATTTAAAGATAAACGTTGTCTATTTATTTTAAACGTAGATGTGTATTAAATAATAACAATATTTGTCTAGTATACACTAGTTTGAGTTGATAAGATAACAACTTGTTTTTCTGCCCCCTATGAGGAAATAGGATGATGACGTTATAGCGTATTGACAAGCAATTTATTTGTAGAGGTATATTACTTTCAATGCAACTTGCTTGTTTTAAGCTGTTATATAGATATCATATGTGTAAACTTTTCATAGTTTTTACAATGCCATCTCTTATAATTTAGCTTTTATCTTTTATTCTCACTCTCTTGTGTTAGACTTTTATATTGTTATTTTATTAAATTGTATTGTATTGTTATTTTTTGTTCTTTGCATTCATGCCGTATGCCGAATAAAACTCTTTTCATTTCATTTCATCTCTCAAAAGGGACCTATTTCTAGGGACCTATTTATAGGGACATATTTATTGGATTTCGATTCCCTTATACCTTAGTTTCTGGTTTATTTTTTTTTCTTATTGCTAGCCCAAGTTAAAATTGAATCAGTTTTAAAAGCTGTCTATAATCAACTATATGATACAGCATTCTTGCAGGACTGGTCTCTATGTTTCTATTCGCAACTGACGTTTGCTATTTTATGCGTCATTTATTTGCCTAGGGGCTATGGTTGTTTTCCATTGTCAATTAATATACCATTTTTTCTACACTTTAACTCGTTTATGTGGCAAACACATCATTTAAACGTTTTTCTTTTTTCACAGGACTTGGAGCTGGCCAGTTCTATGGCTCTTGGTATCAGGTCACCAATCCCACTCGGCGCCGTAGCAACGCAACTGTACCGCATCGTACAGTCCCGAGGATATGGACAGAAGGACTTCTCATATGTCTTCCAACTCCTCAAAGAAGATGCAGAGAAAAAGAAATGATCAAACTAAAGTATTACTTAAGTGAAGTTCTATTGTTTTATTTTGTCCCTAATGTAACACTGTTAAGGTACATTTTACCTTGGTCTTTTCCTAAGTAGGAGATGCACCTGAATTTCAATATTTTACATAGACTGATTGGCATAGGATTTATGCAACTAACAAAGACAGATATTATGCTTTGGGCTTATAATTAGTCGTATTGATTGTCATAGATCTGATGTTTTTTGTGACAACCGGGACTGAGTGGCGATTTATCGACCCTCTGATGTACGGTGATAAAAAACCATAACTGAGAATAACTAAAGCTAATTTCTAATAGAAAAATATAAGTACATAGTTCTCTGGATCCAAAAAATGATGATACTATACGTAGTGAAACTTTTGATTTTCCAAAAATAGTACTACTTCATAACGATACCCTAATTGGGTAGTTTCCAGGGTATCAAAATTAAAAATCTAATTAGTCCGTCAGTAAGATAATGAAAAAATATTAGACACGTATTTTTTTTATTTTCTCTTATTAAGTTGCAATACTAAGTTTAGGAGTGGGAGATCGTTACGTCATAACGTGCTACAAAATGTGACACGCTGTGACGTCACACGATATTTCAAATTAATATATCGTCGAAAGTATTTAATTTTATGAGAAAAGAAAAAATACGTGTCTAAAAGTTTTAAATCAATGTACCAGACGGACATTAAAATAAAATTTAGGAAATTACCCTATTGTTAGGTAACAATTAGCAACATAACAACTAGGTGGGTACTTACGATAAAAATATATATTTTTTAGAACATTGAGCATAAGACAGTTGTTATGACGCCGGGGTTTATGACGCCCGCTTCTCATGCTTGAGAGTTCAAGTTCGAATCCTACCAAGCAACGACAAGTACCAATGTGACATTTTCCAAGTCGTACATACACTTTCTAAGATTATTTAGACACCACTGGTGAAGGAAAACATCGTGAGAAACTGCTTTTAATTTCTCATTATAAGTTTGAAATCGCGAACCTACATTGAGCAAGCGTGGTGATTAATGCTCAAACCACCTTCGTTCGAGAAGTTGGTAAGCAGTGGCCACTGTTTAAACATAAGGTGATCTTCTAGTACTCAGTCTAAATTCCTCCACATTTCTCACAATGAATTTCTAAGAGACCATTGCTACTCTGTGCAACATTTCAATGAGATAGTTAAAGAGACACTGAAAATGCCTATTGGTTTAGTAAAATATAACAGATTCTTAAGTGTGGGAGAGCCATGCTTTGGCATGAATGGGCCGGCCCTATCGGAGTGATACTTCGGCCTCACAGACCGACGTGAAACAACGCTTGCGTTGTGTTGCCGTGTGAGTGAGGTTACCGGAGGCCCAATTACCCTCCACCTCCCCCTTTTTCCCCAGTCCTTGAATCTCCAACAATCTTCAAATTCCTAACCCCAAAAGGCCGGTAACGCACTTGTAACACCTTTGGTGTTCCAGGTGTCCATGGGCGACGCCGATTGCTTACCATCAGGTGATCCGTCTGCTCGTTTAGTGGCTTATCCAATAAAAAAAAAAACTGTGACTGTTCGACATTTGCCAAATAAAACTGGGGTGCATCAATTGTAGAACGAGAACGATATTTTTTTTAAATAAATCTAAATAAAACCAGTAAAAACATAGTTTCAAATAAAATAGCGCAACTTTTATTTATTGTAGAATACGATATGATTTTTATTTGGTGTAAACTTTCAATGTTAAATCATATTTATTCTTTTTTATTTATTCAACAAAATTCAAACCTTTCAATATTTGTTTCAATATATAAGTATTTTATTACCAAACAATAATTCTTTTTTTGTCTTTTTTTTCTATTTAACGGCCTCTTTTGATGACGGCAACTCGTTGGTGACTTCTAACCTATCAGTGGGTGTCTAAGCTATAAGTATGTATGACCAATAGTAACTAGTTATTTTTTGCTTTTTAGTTTTTACTCTTGGTTTGTTTTTGGTTTTTGAAGTCGGTTTTTTTAAACGCAGTTTTTTATTTTTATTTTATAACTACTTTTTAGTTTAATACTAGAATATATTATAGGTATTATATACAGCCTAAAACGGTGTAAAGTTTTCATTAATACATATTATTCAAGCTCAAACACCAGTTACCTACTGTTAACCATTGTTCTCTTAGCTATCATACTACTTCATCATTGGACATTTAGTGACAACCACCTCATCAATATAAATAAAGTCCTCATCAATACAAATCAATCAAACCCAAACACAAGATAGCTACTAGTAACCGCTGAGGAGTTCCCTCAACTATCCTACTACTTCATCATCAGACCCTTATTGACAACCACGCCACACCTAGGTTCAAAGTCTTCATCAATACAAATTAATCAAACCCAAAAACACAAGACAGCTACTGTTAACCGTTGAGGAGTTCCCTCAACTATGATACTAATTCATCATCAAACCCTTATTGCAATCACATATCACCTAAGTATAAAGTCCTCATTAATACAAATTAATCAAAGTCAAACACAATGTAGCTACTGTTATCCGTTGAGGAGTTCCCGCGACTTCCTCTCGGTTCCATCATCAGATCAACTCCAGACCTTCAGATTAACAGATTGTAGTAGTTTTAAAATTACTTATTGAAAAAATTACTAATGCATTAGTCGCACCTATAGTTTTTAAAGTTCCCCTAGGTTCTCCTGGGATTCCATCATCAGATCCTGACTTCATGACAATGGGACCAAATGACAAGCCTACCCTTTCAAACAAAAGAAGATTTTTTGAAATCGGTTCAGGCGTCTTCGAGTAATCGAGTAACAAACATAAAAAAAATACAGTAAAATTGAGAACCTCTTCCTTTTTATTGAAGTCGGTTGAAAACATTAAGTTGTCTTTTACCAGATGGAATAAGCACAAAACGCATAATAATTAAAATACCTTGTTAAGCAAGTATTTCGTTGTTTCGGGTTGAAAGCCTGGATTTGGTAAAAGTACTACCTATTGGATTTTTACGATATTTGAAAATCGATAAGCAAATGTTCCGAGTGAAGAATTGTGCTCAGTGGATTGCAATAGGCTCTGCATTTGGCGTAGGTAATATAGAAGACTTCCAGTTAATCATAAAATACTTTTAAGCTCTGAAATCTGTCGCGGAGAACCTAACGGGTTCTAACCTAACAGGAGAAGGAACGGGTTGGTTATTAGTCAGTAAGAGTCTGACACTCCCTTCCGCCTCACACAGGCGGGAGCAGATTCGTCCAGTCGATGATTTCCCCCCCTTAAAAAAAGCTCTAAAATCTCTGAAAACAAAAAAGATTCTGAAGATTCAACCTCTTTTGCTTAATTCAAGTATCAAATCGAACCTACGACCACTAGCCAACTACGGTTTCCTACATAAATAGCTACAATCGTGACGTCATGAGACGTAACGATTTTTTTATAGAACACCATTCATTACCACGGTCAAGGTAAAACTGTTACACTGGGCATGTTTTGAATCTTCACATCATCGAGAAATCGACTTTAACACAAGCTCATAAGGCATACATTCCCTTAAAAAATAATGTTCGCATGACCTTAGCAAGCTTATAATCCAACGTGAACTTTAATTGTAGAGTAATAGAGTTCAGATTTGATAAATAGAACATTTGTTTTCCTGCCTGGCAGTAGTGTAAAAAAGTCATGGACACCATAGGTTGAATGTTATAAGTCATTGTCCTCTAAAGACGCCATTGGCGTAAGCAGAATAGCTTGTTTAATGACATTACATAATATAATATCACGACTTTTATCCTCGAAGGGGTAGGCAGAAGCGCACATTACGGCACTTAATGCCACTGTACAACACAACACCACTTTTCCCTATTTATGTTATGAGTCTCATGTAATAGGGGGTGAGCCTATTGCCATAACCGGGAACAATTCCAGACTGCTACTACTGAGATTTTTTTTTAAAAACCCAGTAGTACTTTTCCCGAGCCGGGAATTGAACCTCAGACGCCTCACCGAGGCGGGAGCAGTAATTCGATGATTTTTCCCCCTTAAAAATAGACCCCTTGCCCGGTAGGTGCACTTGCGACCATCCGGCCAACGAGGCGGTCAGTAGAAAATGTAATCAGTATAATAAGTCAAAAAGAAAATACTCGTAATCGTAACTATAAGTCTTAAAATACCAATAAAACTGAAAGGTTGGTAATATAAGTCTATCTACCCTATCAAAAATAACAGGCATGATGTTTTCTTACACCTAATAATAGATAATATTCAATGATGACGTTTATTTGTTTGTGTACATACGGCCACACATCAATCTATAAAAAAACAGTTTATCCTGGTATCGCGTCGCATCATCTTTCCGCACATTTAACGTTCAGTTTATACTGGTTATGTAAAGCTCGACGTGTAGTCGTGGTTACGTATCGCGTCCAATGTTTTACACCGAATTGCACCATGATTTTTGAAGAGCCGCCAATTCGTATTGCGATTTCGTTGTGCAAGACTCAACTGCTTCGTGATAGTTTAGATTGCACAATAATATAACATCATGCTATCTATTTCTTGAAGGGATAATCAGAGGTGCAAATGATAAATACTGCCAGATAAAATAATAATTAATTGAATCGTATTCATGTTGTATGTATTTTGGCTATATGTATAAGTTCATACAACAAATATACGGCCAATTAAAAATTGAATTGATGTGGAGAACTTCATGACTTTATATAGCTGTTATAGTCAGGCGTTATATTACCAGTATAATATTAGTAAAATACGACAGTCAGATTGAGGATGGATAGCTGCATATGTTTATTTTTAAGTAGAATATTAGATATTTTAAATATAACACTGCGATTGATATATAGAGGTATTTAATCACACTGTTTGTTCTTAGAACGTCTAAGTAGAAGTGTTCGGTGTTTTTACGCGACGTTTAAACAATTTCGTATTTAGTTGTCGGTACGGTTAATATTGTAGGAGTTATTGAAAAACCTAACGTTATTGATTATTTGAACTTGTAGCGAGTTAGG